TTTGTCCACAATAAAGCCTGGGGACTCAAATAGGCTGTGCGTAAAATCACATAAGCCAACTATGTTGTAATAAAAAGTTTTGATTCCATACAATAAACAACACAAAAAAAATATATTATTGGACAGTAAATTCTAAGAAATAAATTTTTGGATACCAAACTTTTCGAAAAATAAATTTTTAGGCAGACAATTGTTAGAAAAAGAACGAATGGAAACAGAAACGGTTAGTACAATTTTAGAAAATGATTTAAAAAAAGCATGATGCTTTTTTCATAAACATTTTAGACACAGTGTAGAAATGTAGTTTGTATTCCTTTGAGATATTGATAATTCAAAACAGTAGCACGTCAGTGCTATATCGCTTTCGTGTTAATAATGACTTTTTTTGCCTTTAAAGTTTTGCGTTAAGCCTATGGATACATATATGTACTTATGCTGTTATTGGTTAACAGCTACAAAGAGAGGGAGAGTGAGTAGCTTGCATATGCCTGTGTTAGTGAGCATATATTTATATGTTGCTCATGAAATGCGCTCAGACGGAGCGTGGGATATGCAGCGTAAGCATAAATGGTCAGCTAGTGGGCCGCACTACGTAACATGAGCCAGAGCCAATATATAAAGTGGCTCTGGGCTTGTTTAATGTATAATTGTTATTGTATGCAACAAAGTGCCGCATACTTTATTCTTGTATATAGGGTGTTCTTTTAAGGCATATACATACTACAATAGACACAATATAAAGAAGTAAGAGGTTCTAGTCGGGAGCTCCCGAATAGGGGATACCCTGAACCCTCTTATTCCAGCACTAAATACAGCGCACGCTACGCGCTCGTTTGCTTTTGTAGTAATAAAGATAAATTTAAAAAAAAAAGTTCCCTTGGCAGGGTTCGAACTTGCAACTAACCGCACTACTCGCCGCCACCTCTACCCAACAGCCACACCAATAATTAAGTCTTAATGAGAAAAAACCAATTAAAATGGCAGCACAGAAATCAAGACAATCGCAATTGCAATGCTGTTGATAGAATTAAAAGAAGACGCGCATTAATGTGTGTGTGTACATGTATACAGAAATTCTTGGAATTTGCGCTTTCTACGCAAACTCGTGGGCTGCCAAAACACATTTTCTTTCGTGTTTCTTAACCGATCTTAATGAAGTTTTCTACAGTATATCATATTGTACTAGAGAACATTCGTGTATTATCAAAAAGTCAATTTCATTTAAATTGTGGGCAATACAAGTTGACCTAGACCTAGATCTAAAATTTCAAGTCTTTAGCTGTTATAGGTTCTGAGATCCTTGCGTTCATACATACGGACAGATGGACAGACAGACAGACGGACATGGCTAGATCGACTCGGCTATTGATGCTGATCAAGAATATATAAAGTGGGGTCGGAGATGCTTTCTTCTGCCTGTTACATACATTTGCACAAACACATTTCACCCTTTTTACCAATTTTCAATTGGTTCAGGGTATAAAAAACGGCTTCTCGAGTATTTACTAAATGTATCAAGAGTATACCTCTTATTATAAAACTGTTTGTCCTGACTGACTGATTGGTGATCAACGCACAGCCCAAACCGTAAGAGCTAGGAAGCTGAAATTTTCACTATAGTTTTAGGTTTTGGGAAATGCCACCCGCAAGTGTGGAAAAATCGCGAAAAACGTTTGTATGAAACTCTTTTGTTTACCATCCATTCGGCCTCAAAATCATTTTCAAAGATCTTTGTTCAAACTCATTTGATGGGTGTTCCACACTTTTCCAAAAGTCCATTCGTCCTTGGTGGAAAAGTGGGTCAAAGATTTGTTGGGTGATCTATATAAAAAATCATTTAAGGCGTGTTTCCCATTTTTCGCAAAATTTTTTTGATGAAGTTTTAAGTATTGTCCGATTTGCTTCAAACTTATTTTCAAAGCTCTAAATAAGGACTTTATGTATACGTGTTTCAGTGATTTGTGAAATTCCACCCACACCAGTGTATGAAAGTAATATGTTTACCGTCCGTTACCATAAATTTCAAAGCTTTTTGAGAAAATTTTGTTTTATACGTCCTCGGGCAACGCCGGGTTATACCCGCTAGTTTTTATATATAATTCGAGATAATAAAGTCGTTGCGTATATGGACGACATTACGATAGCAAGTAAAAATATATATTTTAATTTGGAAGTCTTAAGATCGGTATTTAAGCGGTTAGTTGAGAACAAATTAGAGTTGAGATTAAATAAAAAGTGAGTTTATGCAAGACTAACTTTGTCTTGGATTTCAAATATCAAAGAAGGGTATAAAAGCTGACGTGAAAGGGCTTGAGGTGGTAAAGAACTTTCCCATTCCCTATAAAACTCAAGCGGTACAAAGTTTTCTTGGACTTTGTTTATACTTAAGATCATTAAAAAATTTTCTATAATTGCCAACAAATGTATGATTTACTAAGAAAAGATAGAGTATTTAAATTCGAAGAAAAAGAGATGAATTGTTTTGGGTAATTGAAAGAAAAACTGTCCCATATTATATTTTTCTAAGCGTACAACGGAAGCGGAACGAAATACCACAGTTTTAAGTTGGAGACTTTAGAAATTATGTATGCACTTCGTTGATTTAGGACATATTTACAGGGAAGACGTTTCAAAATTATATCAGACTGTAACTCTTTGGCTTTAACGCTAAATAAGGAATATCTTAACCTGAGAATTGCTATGTGGGCCTTAGAGCAGCAAGAATTTAATTATGAGCTAGCTTATAGAGTTGGTAAGCAAATGCAACATGTGAATGCTTTATTAAGAGTTTATAATACGATTTTGATAACAGATGCGCGTAGTTTTGGCACGAAATTTATAGTTTGTCAGACTAAAGATAAAGAAGTACAAGAAGCTATGAAATTATTAGAAAGGGGCGAGCTTAAACTGTTTGAAAGAATGAAGAACCATGTTTTGTATAAATACCATGACGAACTGGAGCATATTGGAAGAGAGAAAATGTTAGACCCCATTGGAAAATCATACTGGTTTCCTAACATGAAGGCCAAAGTTATGATATTGAAAACTGTTTAAAACGTATAGCATATTGACCTAAGATAGGAAAGAAAGGTGGGATATTATAGAGTATACCTAAAAGAAGTTATACCCTACCAAAGTTATGATATTGAAAACTGTTTAAAACGTATAGCATATTGACCTAAGATAGGAAAGAAAGGTGGGATATTATAGAGTATACCTAAAAGAAACAGACGATTTGACTAAATCCACATAGTAGTGCAAGGTTTTACAAAATTTTTTGGACTGTATACAACAAATAGCAGGCAGGTTATAAGCTCATTAAAAGATTATTTTTGATCATATAGCAGGCCGAGCTGTATAATATCTGATCGGGGGAGCTGTTTTACATGGACGCAGCTCGAAACATTTTTACGGGAAGCAATGTGAAACCTATAAAAATTGCAACGGGTTCTCCTTAAGCGAATGGGCAACTGGAAAGCACAAACAGAAGTTTAGGTCACATGATAGCAAAGCTAACTGAACCTGAAAGTAAACAACATTGGGATAGGATTATTGAAAAAGTTGAGTACACTCAGCATTGTATTTGGATTAGCGCATAAGGGAGAGGTCAGTGATGGATTAATGCAAAAGTTAGAGGAGATGAGACAGTTAGATACAGTTATTGAACGAAATTTGAAAGATATTAGAGAAAAGGCAACAGATTAGAATCAGAATAAATATAATGTTCAGGATTATGTAATGGTGGAAAACTTTGATAGCAAGGCAGGAGTACCGAGAAAATTGATACCTATAAACAAGGGCCCATATATTACAGATATTTGTCAAAGATATTGATGGCTTTTAGTTATCTCGAAATCCTTATCAGTGTGTTTGGAGTGCTCAAAATATTAAATGCTGGATTTAATAGACATAATAAGTAAACTTAATCTAACGCAACATAATACTAAGTATAAGGGATAAGACTTAAAATATATTGTAAAAGGTAAAATGTAGTATTAGATTTTAGTGTAGTAGGTATAAGTATATTATAAGTGAAACAGAGGACTATCTCATGGTCAGGATATCCGAGTTGTAACAGGCTTGGTCATCTTGTACGGTGTAAGGGCCTAGTCAGCTGCTAGTCCGCTGTAAATGAAATACTATCTTAAAATAAAAGACTATTACACAATGTTATTAAATCTAATTATTGACGACACTATAATTATTCAATAACTTTTTTTTGTGGACGGGAGGTGTAATATAATAGCAATTAAGATTTTCTTTTCCATGACTTGCGGCCTTTTGTAGTCGTCTTAGTAAATCGTCTCGAATTCTTTTATGCCAAAGCGCTGGTCGCTTTTTGACTTCGTCGCCGCTGGATAATGGACGTTTTTTGTACGCCAATATTTTCGGCTCGTGACCGCGAGGTTCATTGACAAGCTTGTAAGCTTTGCTTGCTTGCTGTTACTCACGAATAGTTTTTCGTCATACACACAAATACTTTGAGTACTTATTTCCTGTATTTTAATTAAGTGGGGTGAGCCAAACGAGAGACTAGCACGCAGCGCCGAAAATCGGCCAGATAGGGGGAAAAAAAGGGAACCAAAATTTTTCCCTTTTTATACGCTGAACCCATTGAAAATATGTAAAAAGGGTATTATGTATTTGTGCAAATGTATTAAACAGGCAAAAGGAAGCATCTCCGACCCCATAAAGTATATATATTCTTGATCAGCATCAATAGCCGAGTCGATCTAGCCATATCCGTCTGTCTGTAAGTCTGTCCGTCCGTCCGTATGTATGAACGCAAGGATATCAGAACCTATAGGAGCTAGAGACTTGAAATTTTAGCTGTAGGTCCTCCTAATGCCCGCACAGATCGAGTTTGTTTCCGATATTCAATAACTTTCCCCGTTTCCAAGTAATCGATAAAAATCGATATCGAAATCCAGTTCTTTGAGCAATTTCGGCAAATAATATGAGCTAGAGTCACCCAACTTGACATGTAGCTTCTAGAATAGTATATATATATCAAGTATCTTTCATTTTACACCTATCGCCTGCTCCCCGCTACCACCGCAACGCTTTAGATCATGTTAGTAAACCAACATGTATTGCCTTCCTATTTAAGTCACAATTTAAATGCGATTGTCATTTTGAAAATACACGAATATTTCATAGAATTATACAATAAGACCTACTGCTGAATTTCATCAAGATAGGTTAAGAAACACAAAAGTCAGGTGCGCACGTGTTAGCAGCAGCTACCGCAAATTCCAAGAATTTCTGTATACATGTGCGCGTCTGCTTCTATCAACAGCATTGCAATTGCGATTGTATTGTTTTCTATGCTGCTATTTGAATTCGTTTTTTTCTCACTGAGCCTTAATTGTTGGTGTTGCTATTGAGTAGAGGCGGCGGAAAGTATCACCATCAGTTACGAGTTCGAACCCTGCCCAGGAAACTATTTTTTTTTTTTGGCTAGTGTGGCTGTTGCGTAGAGGTGGCAGCAAGTAATGCGAGTTTGAACCCTGACTAGCTGGCTGCCCGACGTGGAGTACGTGGTGGACCTGAGGGCGTTAATGCACCATCCTGAGAAAGGAACTGAGCAGGATGGACGAGAACGCGAGCCCACAATATAAATTGTATGTCCGTAGGCATGACTTCTTGTTTTTACCCAAGCTCATACTTTTTGCAGTCCAATGCGAAGGAATAAAACTGCATGGTCAGAAGTATCCTCTGGTCTCGCGACTTAAAGTTGGGTGCGGAATAAGCGCATATCCGGGCGTCGGGCAGGCGCCATGAACGAACGTAATAAACAACCCATTTCAGACGACCCTTCCGCTGGCAGTAAGGACGACGATGCAACGAGGAGAGGCGGCCAATAGGATGATCGGCCAGAAACTGGAAACACCCGTCAAGCGGCGTCGGATATGTTACTGATGCGGTCAAGAGAGTGAGGGGCCGGATCCCACGGCCAGGGTAATCATTCTCATAACTCACTGAGACTCGTGCTAGCAGGCGAACGAGCCGTGGAGCTGAGCCCGGCCGCGGGAATCCGCAACAAGGCTAGCGAGAGTGAATGGTCTGAAATAGGGAGTCTGGACGGCGAGGACGTCTGGCCAACAGGCCTGGAGTCTGGACGGCGAGAACTTCTAGCCAACAAGCATGGAGCCTGAATTGCAGGTGCTTCTGAAAGAGGAGTTGGCGAAATTCGAGGGGCTTGAGGGCGGATCCCATATAGCCAGCCATCGGATAGTAATGAAGAACAACTAGGTACCCCACGTTGCAACGCGTCATCGACGAAAAGGTGGAGGAACTGCTCCGGACGGGATTCATTGAGCAATCCCGAAGCCCGCGAAGCGCGCCGATCGTGCTAGTGAAAAAGAAGATAGGGAAATGACTACCGGATGATTACCCCTGCACTCAGATAAACCACATATTAGACCGCCTACAACCAGCGCGTTTAATCTCGATAATGGATTTGAAGCATGGATACTGGCAAGTCGTGATGCAGGAGAGTAGCGAGCAGTATACAGCATTTACGGTTCCAGGTCGGGTCTATACCAATGGAAAGTCAGCTTTCCGCAAGCTCTACTTTCCAGAGCGAATAGAACCTTACACGTTTGCCTATCTGGCCGACATTATCAAAATAGGCGGGCGTGAGAGACTAATTTGAGGCTAAAGCAGGAAAAGTGTCTATTCTTTCAAAAGTAGAACTGCATCAGCGTCTGGGAATGGCATCGTGGTATCGGTGATTCGTTTCAAATTTTGCATCAAGAGAAAGAAAAATGTGAGATCGCGCAACACAGAATAGCAGGCAGTGTTGGTACAACTAAAGGAGCGCCGGATCTCTGCCCCGACCCGTGCATGTCCAGACTTTGACATGATGTTCGTATTGTATCGACTATGGACTCGGCGCTGTCCTTACGCAGACGATTCGAAGAAGAGGGACGTGTATCTGCATAAGCCAGTAAGAAACTCTCGATGGCAGACATCAACTATTCGGCCTCGGAAAAGAAGTGCTTGACGATAGTATGGTCAATTTGGAAGTTTAGATGCTACCTGGGTGGTCGTCATGGACCATATGGCGCCCAAGTGACTGAACTCGATAGAGTCCGTCCGGAAGGATCGCTCGATGGTCCCCGGAGCTATAGGAGTTCGAATTCGGCGTACAATACAGACGAGGGGTAAAAATTACATTAAATTCATTAATATGTATGTGGTATGTAAACCTAACGATATGTAGGCAACAGCATAAAAATTAACAGTTGTTAATTAATAATATGAAGTTTGCCACACGGAGTGGGTCAATCAAATGTTAAGTTAAAGGAGAAAAATCACCGCTGGGTTTATACTGATAACAGCATGAGCGAGGAGTAATTAGGCTTAAGTAGGGAGCAAGAGAGGGTTAAAAGATGGCGAAGCTAAGCAGCAACTTGACTTTAAGGTGAACAAACGTATGTAGCGCACATATGAGCGGAACATCAAGAAGTTTGGTAGAACTATTTATGTGTGAAGGTGCTGCAGGACCATCGAAGATATTTGCGGAATAATAGAAAACGAAATCAAACGCGGTCTTATCATTTGGTTCTTTTTTATCGTTCGGCAAGCAAGGGTGAACAGGGCTAACTTTGCCTTAATCTCGATTCCACTAATTTTAACAGCACCTACCTATCTCGAACTGCTACGGAGCAATCATAACGCCGGCCACGACTTTTGTAGCCGCCATGTCGCGAAGCGATCCCGACCGGCCAACTAGCCTTGCTTCACGGATTGTCAAATTCCTCTGATGAGACCCAAAACAATTCTGGCCACTGTCGTTACATGAGATTCGAATTTAAGTTTGTTATTAATAATGACACCTGGATCATTAACATTATTTTTGGTATTGTTAACACGCTCGAGAGGTAAGCTATCAAGGGTGAAAAAACTCATTTGAGGAAGGCTTCTATAGGAAGTCATTACATTACAACTTTAGGTGCTTCGGCACAAAAGTCAATGCCGTGACAGCTGCCCAATGTACAAAAATAAACTAAACGAGGCATAAGCAAGTCACGGCTTGTGAGCAACTCTGCACCCAAGCTAAATAAAAGCGTCGCTGGTAATCAAGTGGTAATAATTTTGAGTGTGAAGTCTTAATACAGTTTTATGGTGATTTATAGCAGCGTAAATAGTATGGTAATATCACAACGACAATGCACGCCAACCAAGTAATTTCATAAAGAGGTCTAATAAAAGAATGAACCCAATGACAGCACAAGCAGTAAAGCACTGTTAGTGCGTCGATGATTTTATCTACAGCGGCCGAAGTTGCAGTTGAAAAGCATCAACGCCTCTATCAACGTCATCATATTCAAAAAGGTATGGAACGAGATGGATACTGCTGAATGAACTCGTGTTCTTGTTCAAATTGGGCTATCTGAGGCTCAACCTCCTCTGCAAATGTGAGCTACCAACAAAACATTAACTGCTGCAGGTCCTCATTTCTATGTTCGATCTGAAGACCATGCTGCAAATAGTGTGGCGGTCCTCGATTGAGGGTTATGAAAGCGAATCTTTGCAGAGTTTGCCATTTAAAATTTCAAAGTGCTGCTTTTAAAACGCAGTGTAAAATTTGTTGGCGAAATGGCAACGAAGCAACGGTGCTTCGTACTGGCGCGTATCGATAGCAATTTATACCTAAGCCATGGGGTACTGGTGCGTTTTCAACACGATTGTGATAACACTGCAACAAATGCATTGCGCTGTAATAACCCCAGCAAATGGTTAAACCATCAACGGGCAGAATACACCAGCAAAAGCTTTGCATCCCCTGAATAAAACTGAATACATATTTTTAGGTGACAACAAGCTGAATGTCAGTAAAAGAAAACTCTTAGGGCCTAACCATAAAATGTGTTTCCTTATAAGCATCGCGGTGTAACATCCCCAATAGCTATGCCCAACGACACCCAGAGTTTGTACTATATTCTGCCCCAATATACCATATTCATACCACACGTGTCAATTTTAACAAGTAAAAGGTTCTAGTCGGGAGCTCCCGACTAAGGAATAACTTGAACCCTATTACTTCAACACCAAATGCAGGTCGCGCTACGCGCTCGTTTTCTTAGTAGTAATAAAAATAAATTAAAAACTAAAATAAAAGTTTTTTGGCAGGGTTCGAACTTGCATCCGACTGCACTACGTACTGCCGCCTCTACTCAACAGCCACACCAATAATTGAGTTTTAATGAGAAAATAACCAATTAAAATAGCAGCACAGAAATCAATACAATCGCAATTGCAATGCTGTTGATAGAATTCAAAGCAGACGCGCATGAATGTGTGTGTACATGTACACAGAAGTTCTTGGAATTTGCGCTTGCTGCTGCTAACACGTGCGCACATAATTTTTGTGTTTCTTAACCGATCTTAATGACATAACAGTAGATAACAGTAGAATATTTGTGTATTCTTAAAAAGCATATAAATTGTGGCTTAAATTAGTGGGTAATACAAGTTGGGTTATTAACTTAAATTTTAGCTTTTCGGTGGTAGCAGGGGGGTAGCGATAGGTAAAAAATTAATGATATTGATATATCTGCGCGGGCCCTAGGAGGACCTACATACCAAATTTGAAGTCTCTAGCTCTTATAGTTTCTGAGGTCCTTGCGTTCATACATACGGACGGACAGACGGACATGGCTAGATCGACTCGGCTGTTGATGCTGATCAAGAATATATATACTTTATGGAATCGGATATGCTTCCTTCTGCCTGTTATATACATTTGCACAAATACATTATACCCTTTTTACCCATTTTCAATGGGTTCAGGGTATAAAAATCAATAACTATAATTTTCTATATATTTTAAGCAAATAAAACAAAAATTTAAAAGCGTATAGATTATGAAAATTAAAATAAGTATTATTTATTATAAGAAACTTCTTTTTACTTATAGATGTGAGCGAATAACAATAGGTAGTCTAAATATTATTAGGATCCACAAGATAAACATGCATCCTTGTTTTCGAGGGAACAAATCATTTCTGCCATTCTACGCTCTCGTTCTATATCCGACTCGTTTGTGTTGCCCATTTCTATCGAAGTATGTTGGTCAACTAAGTTCTGTTCATTAATTTCCATTACAGACACATTTTTGTCTACAGTAAATTGTATAGCATTTGCAGCTGGTTTTGTGCGAAGATAATACATTCCTGTTTTAAGGCCCGCTTTCCAGGAGTAAAAGTGGATTGATGTTAATTTTCCATAGTTTGGCTCAGCAACATGAATATTAAAAGATTGACTTTGATCAATAAACGCCCCTCTATCAGCCGCCATTTTAATAGTTGACTTTACCGATATCTCCCATACGGTTTTGTACAAATCCCGGATTTCCTCGGGTATAGATTCTATGTTTTGTATAGAGCCTCGGCTTGCGATAATTTGATTTTTCATCTCATCATCCCACAAATCAAGCTCCGTTAAATCACGCAGTAAATGAGGATTTACTACTTGAAACTCACCGGACAATACTCGTCTTGTATAAATGTTGGAAGTGTAGGGCTCGAACGACTCATTGTTGCCCATTATTTGCGCAGTGGATGCTGTAGGCATGGGAGCAACTAGCAAAGAGTTTCTGACACCGTGCTGTTTTATGGACCTTTTAAGATTATCCCAGTCCCAAAGATCTGTTGGTGATCTGTTCCACATATCATACTGCAAAATTCCTTTGCTTACTGGACTTCCAATATAGGTTTCATACGGACCATCCTTCTGGGACAATTCACAACTAGCTTCCAAAGCTCCAAAGTAAATAGTTTCAAATATTTGCTGATTTAAAAGAGATGCTTCTTCGCTTTCATACGGAAACCTCATTAAAATTAATGCATCTGCAAACCCTTGAATACCAATACCAATAGGGCGATGCCGTAAATTTGATTTTTTTGCCTCTGGCAAAGGATAGTAGTTTATATCAATTATTTTATTCAAGTTTTTGGTAACAATTTTAGTTACTTCTCTCAGTTTTTTGAAGTCGTAAGTTTTTTCGGCCGTCACAAACATGTTTAGTGCTATTGATGCTAAATTACATACAGCTATTTCGTCTGGTGCTGAATACTCAACAATTTCCGTGCATAAATTACTGCATTTTATAGTTCCAACATTTTGTTGATTGCTTTTTCTGTTACACGAATCTTTAAAAAGCATGTAAGGGGTACCAGTCTCCACTTGAGATTCGATTATGGCAAACCAAAGAGATTGAGCTTTAACAATTCGATTCTGTCGCCCTTCTTTTTCATATTTGACATATAGTTTTTCAAAATCTTCACCCCAAACATCTTGCAGACCGGGACATTTGTGTGGACACATCAAAGACCAATCCTCGTTGGCTTCAACCCGCTTCATAAAGAGATCAGGAATCCACAAGGCATAAAACAGATCCCGGGCCCGATGTTCCTCTTTCCCAGTATTTTTTTTAAGATCTAAAAATTCAAACACGTCTGAATGCCAAGGCTCCAGATAAATGGCAAATGCACCTGGTCTTTTACCACCACCCTGATCGACATAGCGCGCCACGTTGTTAAATACTCTGAGCATTGGTACCAAGCCATTTGAAGTACCATTTGTGCCGGAAATAGAGGTGCCCTTTGCTCGAATACAATGAACATTAAGACCAATGCCTCCTGCCGATTTGGAGATCATTGCGCACTGCTCAACTGTTTTAAATATTCCTTCAATAGAATCCGATGCCATTGTTAAAAGAAAACATGATGATAATTGAGGACGATTTGTGGCAGCAGCAAAAAGCGTTGGTGATGCATGGGTAAAAAAACGTTCCGACAGTAAATTATATGTTTCAATCGCAGAATCAATATCATCACCATGTATACCAATTGCGACACGCATTAGCATGTGCTGTGGTCGTTCCGCTATTTTGCCATTAATTTTAAGCAAATATGATCGCTCAAGTGTCTTAAATCCAAAATAATTATATCCAAAATCACGATCATAAATTATTGCAGAGTTCAAGCGGTCTGAATTCTTTGCAACAATGTTGTAATGATATTCAGACACCATAGGTGATGTCTCATTAGTTTCCTTGTTAACGTGCTTATATAGATCTTCAAAGACATCTGAAAAGAAACAATTATACAAATAAGCTAAAAATCGTTCATTTTGCATTTTGAAATGATTTAAGTAATGATCTCGCGTGATTGAGTGACTATGACTATAAGCTCTGTACACAACCCTGAAAACATAACCTTTATTTGACAAGATTATTAACCACACAACATA